TTTCGGTGTGAATGTCAGCACCATATGTTGCATTTTTCCTGCGTTGTGATTTTAAGTCTAACCTTTGCTAAACTTTTACAGCGGCAGCAGCACATGTAGCACATTGTTGTGATTCCTGTGTGTAAGACTTGTCCGTGAAAGCAGGGAAATCATCTCTCTGTGTTACTTTGTCAGGTCAAACATCAGCAGCCGCTCGCTCCTCTGATCCGCTCTACTCAGCAGGGAGATTTATCGCACGCTGAAGAGATGAGTGGCACCAAGAAGTAAGTGATCCCGTCAGACGCTTTTTCACAGCATAGTTAAGACATTTTATATATTAAGATTGATTCGAACACACGTGTGTGAAAAAAAGCTGCTGAGCAATTACGATGTTTTGATTTAAAAAGTAAAAGCGTAAAAACAGGCGTTTAATTTGTTCTTTTAGTCTCTGCCTTTCAGATTCATTTAAAATAAGAAACCTGTCAGTCAATTTGAGCGTAGCTCCCATAATAAATATCACATGTCGAGGCAGGACAGTCGTCCATTAACAAAGGCCCAGCCCTTTAAGGTCAGTTTAGGTTTAAAGATGTGAAAGTGTAAGCTCTGACACACATGGATTCTGTCACCTAACGTGCAATTGTTTGGATGGTGAAGCTACTTTAAACACACCGCCTATATTTCTCTGATAAATATTAATCACAGAATATATTGGATATATTGATCTATCTTTGTATTTTAAAAACATTTGGAAGGTTTTTGAAATAACTGTAGAAACCCAGATCTTGGTGCGGCTTTATGATGGGGTTTTTCAAGGTTGCAATTAGAAACCCAATAAAGAACACAAAGAAGAAAGAAGAACACAGAGACGATAAAAGCAAAGCTTATTACAGTTAATCAATCTGATCAAAAATGAATCACAAAAAGTGTCTGAATATCTTTTGTTTGTTCCATCACAAAGATTGGAGCCATAATTTCAACATCCATCAGCACCTGCGTTTATTTAGACACCACACTTGAATCTTCAGGTGTGATAGCTGCCAAAAAACTATCCTTTTACTGCACAACCACCCTTTTGGCTTTCAGAGTGATGACTTTTACTTCGCCCTAGTTGTTGTTAGTTGTTGTTAGGTGTTGTAGGGAGATTTTCCTTTACAAATCTGACCAGAGGTCAGAGATACTCGATACATGACCTGCATTCATTTTTTCATTTCTCACGTGAGCAGATGCCGTCAGCCACAACACAACGTGGATGCCTTTAGGCTGTCTGATGTTTCCATGGTTTGGAGACACAGACAGAGAGTGCACACTACATGCAGGTTGTAGTGAAGACAGAGAGACTGATAAGTTATCTGTGAAGGGACAGATTGCACCAATGTAAGTGCAAAGTTACAGCCCTCTAGGTTCTGATTGCTTGTACAGTTTTAATAGGGTTGTTTCAAGGTTTAGTTACTAATCTTTAACATATGCAAAGTGTCAATTATTGATTAATGAAACTTGCATAAGGGTTCATGTGATTTGCATTTTAGGTGCATTTATTCTCCATTTGTTCTAACTGGAGAGCTAGCATAGCATTATTTTAGCAGAACTTCCATTAAAAGCAAAGGTAATGGAAAGCTTTCTATGTTAGCAGCAGACTCGGAGCAGATCAGGTTCAAGGTCAAGTCCTGAACTTTTGTTGTATGAAAGAAGGAACATCTGTTGAAGTGCTGCCCAATAAAAGTTATGTAAAGGTGGACGAAGTGTATCGTCTTCTGCACTTTTTGGTAATATTGTTTTTCCCCCTTTTGGTCTCATAAGCCGCCACACATTCTTTTTACAAAGATGATTTCTTACTATAAACTTGACTGGAATCAGACTCTGCCTGTCACTTTTGGTTTAAATGAGTTCATTATGAACTATAAGTCACTCACTTGTTAAATACAATAAGACTCGTGTTTCTAAATAGCAAAGCATATGACAGAAGATGCAAAGAATGTACCTTTATGAACTCATGAGATCACATGACATGAGACTGGTCTTTAAGTCAACTTGGAAAAGTCTGAAAAGTTAAGACTGTACAGAAAAAAAACAACACATCCTTTCAGCAGAGGAATCAGTGAATGTTTGGATTGCTTGTTTTTCATTATGCACTTTAAATCTGTCAGATTATGTTTAACCCAGTACTAAAAGGTGAGGCTCAAAGGTTTTGGTTTCATATCATGCACACAAAATATGAAGCCAGATATCTATTAAACCTTTACCTCTTAAAACTCTAGAGTTAGGGTAGAAGCAGATACAAGACAGAGTTTTTAGTTTTTTATAACACGAGGTCATTTCTTCTTCTCTTATGTTAAATTTAGTGCAGGCATGTGTGGGCGGTCAGCCGAGGCCGAATGGAGTTTTGCATGTTATGTCCTTGGTTGTTCCATAGGTGGCAATGAAGGAAGTGGGAACGGCAGCATTAGCAGGAAAACCAGTGAAGTGCAGAGATACAAAACCACAGCTTTAGCTGTGACTGAAACTTAGTGTTATTTTAAAGCTCTTAAGAAGTTGACTCAGGCACATCAAAACTCCAGTTTGTTCTTTAACCGGTAAAACCACAAACCAGGCTGCATGGGCATGGCAAAGGGCACCAATTAAGAAACAGTTTATGCTAAATTAAAGAAATATAGGAAGTTAAATCAACCAGTGTGCATGTGTAGTTAGTGCAGTCAGGAGCAAGCAAACGCTGAAGCAGTGTCTCAGGGAAGAGGGCACCACAGGAACTGAAGTCTGAGGGCTGCTGTGAGGCACAGGTGCACTGCGCCCAGGTGTGCTGGCGTATTGATTGAGAACAAATAACAACTTCTCTGCAATACCTGTGGCGAGACACACAGACAGGCAGAAAAGGATGGCGGGGCGAAGGAGCCCATCACACAGCCTTTATCTGAATATTAGGTAATATCACCAAATCCTGGATAAGAGACTCTGTAACTCAGATCATTTGGTGGATTGTTGCAAACACACACTTCTTCCTGCTCTGGCTTTATAACTTTGCCTAACAAGAGAAAAAGTAAACATGTTATTTTATATGCATGATAATTACACAGCACAACACATTAATGAGTTTCCTGACAGTTCTGTAGCTGACCTTTACCCTCTGAGCCCTCTCATCCCCAAACTGTCAAACCTTCTGTGACCTAAACCCCTCAAAATGTTGAAAACGTCCTTAAAGGTGCTGTTGTTATTTATCTGATATTGCCTAAATACACAGAATAACCAAATGTAGATCATTAATATATTTCCTGTCTTGGGGGCTTCAACGTCCGTTACCTGAGGCTCTGCTGATCATTTTTTAAGATTACTGTTACAGAAAAAAGTGCTTTCATTTCCAATAGCTCAAAATGACGTCTACAGAGCGCCTGTTTTATGTACGCCTGTTTACAACACCTTAAACGTTCGATCTGAAAGTATGCCCCGCTGAAACAATGCTGCTAACTTAAAGAAAATTAGCTTGTTAGTGTTTTCTCATCTTTTAGCGTGTTTGTTCTTTTGGTTAGAAACTGAGTAGAAATAGATTTCTCAAAGAACGCCTCATAATCTTTTCAAATGTCACTCTGACCTTTCGACAACGGAAGACAACATTTCGTTGATGTGCAGAAAAGGCAAGAAATCCTATTTGAAAAGCTGCAAGAAGAGATTTCAGACATTTTCTTTTTTCTTTATAATCAATTAATTAGTGGAAGAAACGGATGTTAAATGAATTCAATATTTTATTGCTTTGCAGGTAACAGTTAGGAGGCTTTTAAATTCTGCAGACAGATTGGAAAAAATTGGACTGTTTCTTTGCAAAACACATGAAACAGTCTGTGTCTGCATTAAAACCTCTAAAACGACTGGTGTTGTTTTCACAGCAGCAGCAGATGTTTTGTTTGAACTTGAAGCTTTTTAAGGGCTTAAAAAGATTCAGAATCTGACTGAACTGATGAGGAAAGATTTGTGTTTAAGGAAAGCATTATGTCATGCTTTTATCATCTGTTTCCATCCTGTTTATCATGCAAAGGCACCAATTCCCAACAATCACAACAAGATGTGTCACACAGTCTGTCCAATGTTAGACAGAAAGCTCCCACAGAGACTTTCCCTTTTGAGCAGCACAAACAACGGCAAAGAAAAGGCCAGTTATAACAGGAAGTGGCCTCCACCTGAAGCAGGTTAAGGGCGGGGCATCCAGAAACTTTTTATTAATTGACAGAATATTTAATTTTTACATGATTTTTACAGTGAACTGACAGTTCTATAGTAGGCAGTGCACTTTCTGGTATTTAATTGTTATCCTACTCTTTTGCTTTGGTATTGGACGGGGAGTCACCATCAAGAAAAACTGTAAAACTTGAAAATACAGGTTTAAAATTCATGTCCTCCTTCATGTTTTCCTAAGCCGCTCAGTGGCCCAGGTTGGAGTCTTTGGTGGGCCAATTCTGGCCCCTGCACCTGATGTTTGGCACAGGCTTTCTGTCACTTTTCAACTGAAAAAATCATTAAGTGAACCTTGAAGATCTTAGTGATGAAAAGCGAATTTTAATAGACTGTTAAAACGACCGAATTCTGCACCCCTACTTAATTTTATCAGTTCAAAAGTCTTCGATCGGTCGTGTTAACAGACAGAACGACATGCACACAAAAGAATTGTCCTGGAAAAAAAATACTCAGAAATCTTTTGATTAAAACAAACGACATCAAAGTTTTTACCAGGAAGAAAAGCACACTGTAGGACAAACGAGGGTGTGAGGACGCTTGTGAATTATGAGGAAGATCTGGAACTTATAACTGTGAATGTTTTTGTGTGTGTGTAAAAAAAAACCCCCAAAAAAAGACAGAGATTTGAGCTTAAAGACAGCAAAGTTTTTATTTCTGCTGTTGCTCGTCTTGCATAACTGGCAGTACATACTGTAAAGAACAGTATAAAATCTAGAAGGCAAAACCTGTTGTTACCTTCAAGGCAAGTCAGCCTGTAGAGACATTTGAATCCTTTTTTATTGTCAATGTTTGTTGGGAAACAGTTCGGCCCATTTGAGGTAACGTTACGTTTGTGAGGTTCTTGGAGAGTGGCGGAGGCGCCGGTACGCCAGCCTCTTACGGGCTTGTGTGAGTGTGATGTCACTTAAGTAAAGCTGGTGTAATCCTGTAAGGGAGGATGAGTATACAGACATGTGATGGCCCACTTGTTTCTTGGGTGGAGGGTGATGGAGGGGAGGCTGGCAGGCATTACCAAACAGATGGAGAGGCTTTGTAATGTGGGGGCGTGTAACTGATTAGACACAACATTTATTGACGCTCCCTTTGATGGTTTTTCACCTTGATTCTGTTTCTAATCAAAGTCAAGTGAAGCCAAAGTCACATCCGGATTTTACCGGGTTTAAGTCTCGGTCAGTCGGACATTTTTTCGCGCATGTCCAGCGCGGACACTCTGGACATCGTACTCAATTAGAGGACTTCCTGTCCTCCCCTCACCCCCCTCTTCTAGATTAAATCCATTACACCACACTTACCGACTGCACACTTTGTCCTCCGGAAGGACGACGCGTGTTCTCTAAGTTAGGATAGTTTGCTTGCTGAAAATTACATCTCAAGGCGCTGTAACTCTGGAGCCTTTGATGGGTGGAGATGAGCGCCACCAGCAGCACCAGACTGAACCCCAGTCCGAACTTACTGCAAGTGAACGAGCCCAAGCGCTATGGCTCCACGCTGTCGCTGGAGGAAAAGTGTGAACAGTCTTTCTTCCTTTTTTACTACTACAGGATGGAGGATGAGGCGGTGCTGGACCGCGGGGCATCCTTACTCAAGCACCTTTGTGATGAAGAGGAAGTAGAAGGTAAGTTTTACCTGTTGCTCTTTAGTTCTTCTATGTAGCTGCCTAAAAAAAAAGAGAAATAAAATAGATTTTTCCCAGTTTTTAAAACTTCTGAGAGGTTCCTCAGGTTCTGAAGTAAAAAACAATCCCAATTTGCCTAGAAACAATAGTTAACCAAGAAAACAGAATTTTATATATATATGTATATAATTCTTTTTAAGAAGTCCCAAAACACAGGGAGGTCGTTTAGCCTTTTCAAAACTGCCAGTTTCTACTTCCTGCATGTACAACCTGATGCTCAGCTATTCAGCGAGCTGGCAGGAGAAAGATGTGGACCACAGAGCGCGTGACGCTGTGTTTACCTCACTAATCCTGACCTACAGGACAGCGGACAGGAACAGGAAAACCTTTCAGCATTACCGTCTTTAACATGCGCCAGTTAACAGCTTTAAAACTTTAGAATGAGCTGCATTCTGCTCTCTGCGCTCATTTAGGATTACAGGCAGCCAAGGCCTTTTGTTTTTGTTACATTTTAGATTGTGTCTGTAACAGACGAACTGAAAAATTTTTTATACATGAAAGCTGATTTTAAATTCGAAATGAAGTAAATCTTAAATACTTTAAATCGAGGAACTTCAAAGTATGGCATGCGATCCACCTTGCTATTGTTTTGTGTTGCCCAGGGCCACTAATGAGACATTGGGGTATATTTACGTAATTTAAGTTCATGCCATGAACTAGCTGCACAAAGGAAGACCAATCTTCCCAACACTGACAAATACACCTGGAGTCAAGGAATGTAAGAGCCACCTAACCCGTGGTTAAAAAACTATAAACCTGTTCAATAATGAAAGCTGTCAACATTATAATAATAATAATAATAATAATAATAATGATGATGCAGGGCTCTAGAGTGCGACCAATTTGGTCGCAAATGAGACCAAATTTTCCAGTGGTGCGACTAAAAAAAATATTTGGTTGCACCAGTGCGACCAACTGTTCGGGTAACAAAAAAAAAAAAAAAATCTCTGCAACTCTCCGTGTGGTCAACAACAGACACACATTATGCCCCTATCGTGGACTAAACCAATCAGAGATAGTCAGGGGCGGGACCTCTGTGATTGTCCGTGGTCCAGTTGAAAGTGCAGCGTGGATAGAGGGAGGTGAGTAGTTTGAATAAAGCGATATCAATTCATTAAATCCTGAATCGACTTTTAAATATAACTGTGTTTTGTCAGAAACGCCAGATTCTCAGATTAAAGCTCACAAAACTATTTCAACAACAACCAAACAGTAAATGAGAGCAGGTACACGGACTCCACACAAAGACGTAAACACAGACCCGACGCATCAGAATCAGCTTTGTCTTTCTCGGCTTTCTCACCCGACGGCCCGTAGACGGACACGCCATCGGAGCTCAGCGATTCTGATGCGTCGGGTCCGCTCTGTGTTTACGTCTTTTTGCAGGTTTTGTCTCTCTCCAACCAAAATTCACCGAGCCAGCAGCAAAAGAAGCAGCAAACTGCGCTTCACATGTGATCAATGTCGTCATGAATTCCCTCTGACTTTTGCTGCTTTGCTTCCAGCACGATAAAAATCACACTTCATGCACAGCTCTCTCTCTCTCTCTCTCTGTACTTCAAGAACAGTTTCCTGTCTCAAATCTCTGTTTTCTGCATTATTCATTCACTTATTACCCACCAGTCTACTGTTGTTTACAGCGCTGTCGGCCGCTTTTTATTTTATTTTTTTTTTTTTCACTTAAATGACCTCGGACAAAAAAAGCCTCATTTCTGTTGTTCAATACTGAAGAAATTTAAACTTAAAATAAAATAGCTTTTATGCAAAATTACAGAATATTGCAGAATATTTTCTGCAATATTCAGAATATTTTTAGCCAGCTCTGACACGGTGCCATCAACCTCTGAATGCTGAAAAAACACCGTGTATCCAGAAAACACATTATATGCTGCAATAAATGCCCAAGTGTCCCCTCTCCCCACTGCCTGTCAGCAGCATGCAACAGCAAACAGGCCGTCAGAGGAGCCGAGATGATGATTATGTTTAACATTTTCTACAATATTGACAAAGCACTTTAAGCACAAGTTTGTTAGTTAATAATTTAGAAATGAATATTGTCTGTATGGACTGCAACTTCCTCCCAAAAAATGTGCACATGTAAAACTGCGGTGTTAAGCGATGCTAACAAGTTAGGCGCACCGGTGCGCCCATGGCAAAAAGTTAGTGTAGAGCCCTGTAATGATAATAATAATCTCATGAGTTTTATGTATATTATCAATACACACAGAAGACTTTTCACTTGAAGCTGGAATTGGGAGCAATGTTATTAAAGTGAAGTGAAATTAGGAGTGAAACAAAATAGTGAAAGAAAAATGAAAAACAGCTTCAGCAGTGATTAAAAGAAGGAGTGACCGACGGCCTGTCATGGCATCGAAATACATCGAGCGATTGTCCAAACATTTATGGACCTGACTGCATGAACAAGTCATTTTTGAGATCCAAAAGGTCAGTTTCTACATATCCCACTTATTGTACTCTTTGGGGACAGAAGCTCCGCCCACCTGCTATTCAAACCTTCTGTCTGTGAGTGGCATCCAATGAGAAGAAACCTGGCTCATTAAGGTGAGGAGCTCAAACAACCAAGACCCAGAATAAAAAACAGAATAATCTACTTTAAAGATGCGTATTTGTTACTGTGAAATCAGTGCTGGAGTTTACACGTCAGTCTCGGATCTGATGGCTACGTTTTGTTTTCCCCCTCTGTGCTGCTCTCTCAGAGGAGCCAAACGGACATACAGCCGGACATATAGTCTCTCCTGCTGCTGAGTCAGCAAAACCAAATCTGTATTCTTTCTGACAAAGAAGCCCAACAATCAACAACACGTTTAAAGGCTGGAGTATTAGTATGCTGTCAGTGCTGTGTGGTGTGCTGCCACTCCCCCCACCACTGGTCTGGCAATGTCCCAGCAGTGCTGTTACTGGGGAAACTGGCTGTAGCCTTGCCTCTCCTCAGAAATCTGGCGAGCTAAACAAACCTCCTGGCAAACACAAGATTTCATTCACTTTGTGCTCATGGGCGACCCCAAAAGAAGTTCTTCTTCCACCCTCCAAAAAAGAACAGGAAGTTGTTTCACAAAGCCGCTCTGGCTCCCTGCAAATCTTCCCTTCCAGCTCCTTGACTTGACTATTTTTTTATTCCTTCGCCTTCATCGCTGTCCTCTCATTCAGCCGCCTCCTTTCTTGTTCTGCTTCGGCCTATGCAAGCGTCTCGTTTTTATCGCTCGTCTCTCAGCTGTAATGGCTCTGTGTTCTTTATTAGCGCCGTCTGTCTCTTTTAGCTACTGTTCAGCCATCTGTGTCTCAGCTTTTCTGTCATGTTGAGTCACAGCAACAGGAAAATCTCCACATTAGTCTCCAAATCCACCATTGATCCAATTGTTTAATTACATAACTGTCATTTATTGACACTTTGAAGTTGCTCATCAAACACAGGTGTTTGAAATGTGTTTTAGTTTCCCTTGTACCTATTGCACTTGATGTATCCAGGTAGGCTGTGTTTCCACTACATTTTAATTTGACACTGAAGATGGAAGCTCACCTGAATTTAAAGCTTGTTTACGACTGCGTCAGGGTTCAAGCTATCTTCTCCTATGCCACCTGTGTTATGTTAAACTGAGCTACCTTGCTCTGCTATACAACTACCAGCATGCCGGCACAGAAATTCACCTAGAAGCAAGTCTTGCCACCCAGCATCATCCCTGCACCCCTGGGCAGTTATTTCATTTTAACAATTTTCAGTGGTCACCAGCCCAAAATACATGCACCGATTAAAAAGAGATTTAAAAAGTTTGATGACTTTGACTCCATCGCAGGGTTTCCCCCACAGCAGGTCTTATCCTGCTACGTTAGGCTGGAGAGACGCAGACTCGGGCAGCTAAGTGAGTTCCTGTTCAGATGCTGGCATCTCCTCTCCTTTCTTTTGTACATGTTCCATAAGAGAAACAAGCATAAAAACATAAATAAATAACAGATCAATAATTAAAAATAGATTTGAACCATTGTTAGCTCTGCCTCGGATTTGCACCCTGTCTAGAGTGTACCCCACCTCTCACCCTGTGGTACCTCTGCGAGGCTCCAGCCCCTGATACTGATAAAGAAGAGAATTGATGGATGGACATGAACTGTAAGGAGGCAGGGGAAGGGCTGATTTTGTGCACAAAGGATGCAAAAGCTGGAAAAAAAATCTCCAGAAGACTGGAAAGAAGTAACAGCTGTTTTTGCCCGTCTGAAACTAAGGAACAGATCAATAATGATCTGCTGCTACAGTAACTTAAACGTGTTAGTGTAACCAAGGCTGCTGGAAGATTTCCCATGATGCACTGAATTCTTCTCTACTCCCTCTTTTCACTCCTGATGCATTTATGTGCCATTACTGCAGGGATGCCATTAACCTTTGTCTTCACTCTCCTGTAGTTTTTGTTGCACCCTGTCTCTCTGTGTCCCTCTTGTCTCAGTTCTCTTTCCTCCGACCAGTCGTAGTCGATGGCTGTCCCTCCTTGAACATGATTCTCTTAAAAGTCTACTAATTTTAAAATGATGGTCTTCCTCCCCACTGCTGCTGTTCAAACAAGATAAACAAGATACAAAGAGGTATCAACCAAACCACCAGTTTAATAGTTACTTTAGTTTAGCAGTAATTAAATCTAACAACTAACTAAATGCATAACACAAGAATCCAAGGAAGTAAAAACTATATTTAAAGTAAATGACACCAGTCGTCCCTCCATCATATAGCAGGCTTTCTCATTTCTCAACCTGTACTTCCTGTATTTAATAGTTCTGCTTTCAAAGACCCCAAGCACCACGCACAAAACCTTAGGGTGGGCAAAACTTTAGGGTGTCACGAGAGTTTACATTTAGCTGAAGGCTCGTTTCTTAGAGTACATGAATTCTGTTTGGATGTTTCCCCTCCTTGGCACAGGATCCCAGAGTTGTAGATTAATCTTGTGTTTGCATGTTATCATGTAAACATGGGAGTTGTGCCATCTTTGCTGAACCAAAAGCACAGAGGGCAGGAGGTCAGGTGTGGGTGATGGTGGCTCGGTCTCCAGTTTTGTCTTCCTCTGTCTCCGTTTTTATTTCTGTCATGCTTTTTATTCACCACCTCCCACACTGACTTCAGATATGTGGTCTGATTAAGCACATCAAGTTTTTGAGATACCCAGCATTGACGTTTTTAAATATTAATATAACAACACTCCGTGTGGAATTTTAACCAACCATCCATTCTCTTCCACTTATGCTTGTCAGGGTCACGAGGCTGCTGGAGCCTATCCCAGCTGCATTAGGGCGAGAGCCAGGTTCACCCTTGACAGGTTGCCAGTGTGCCGCAGGGCTCGCATAGAGACAGACAACCATTCGCATTCACATTCACACCTGTGGGTAATTTAGTTACCAATTAACCTGTCCCCACCAACTGCATGTTTTGGACTGTGGGAGGAAGCCAGAGTTTAGTTCTGAGAACAAAACAGAAGACCAGAGATGTGTTGAAGCATATTTCTGTCATTTTAGATGAAAAAAAAAAAAAGAGTTTTAAACAAACCACATCCAGCCGACCCGACGGGCCAAGGAAAGAGCTCAAGCTCTCCTAAAAGTGACGGAGGTAAACGTTGGGGGGCAGCTGTAGATCAGCCCTTGGCTCAGTGTAATATTTGCTCTTCACTCTGTTTGGACGTCATCTGAAAAATGTAATAAATGATCACAGACAGAGGAGCACAACGCCCGACCACCTAAAATAGTCCCCTTGGTTTACAGAAGCCTTCACAGTTGTTGACTTTCTCCATCCCTGCATCAGCTCGGTGTTGTGAACTGTTGGTGTCACTGAATTTAGATGAATCCCTAAAAATAAAAGACAAGGCGTTGTGGTACGGGTGAATAATGAACACTGTTGTGCTTCTAAGAGGTCATTGTTTGTTGTGCTGAGGGGTTCAGCCACTTCCTGGTTGGGTCATGTGCAGTGCTTGGCTCAGCTTCGCCCGACCTGCTCCAAAGGAGACATTTGACACCGATCGCACAGAGCTTTTTGTTCCTGGAGCCCGTTTGATGTTTGCTCTGTGATGTTGCTTTTATTGGGTTTATTGGTGAAAATAATAGATTATATAAAACAGATTATATTAGCTTAAGTTAAAGGTTTGCAGGTATGAGAGAAGATGATGAGAATTATTCTTATTATTCACATTTTTACTAATTTACTACAAAGAATAAACATCTGAAATGAAAAACAAAAAAAAGTTTTTTGTAAAGTTTTGGTAAACTGGCGTTCATGATTATTTGCTAAGTATTAGTGGCGTTAAACACCAACTAATCTGTTGAAACTGCAAGAAATGAAGCGTGCAGAACTAAATTATTATTCTGTTATCACTAAAGTAGCTTCAGGGGCACTTCCGATGTTTGATGCTATGAAAGAAAGTGTGTCAGGATCAGATTCAAAATTAATAAACTAATTTTATGATCATTTAACTGACAATGTAACACTCAGGTACGTGTGGCTTCAATTCTCACATACCCGCATTAGTAATAAGTTAAAGTTCAGTAAGTTATGTAAAAGTTTCTCGCCTTATTCTGCACACATGTGGATGTACAGCGAAGCCTGCTGGCATGAACCTCACATCCATGCAAATAATATGTTATTAGCATGCAGTATGGTCTGCTTGTCAGCCTGTATACGAGGGATGTAGCCATGCAGTCGGTGGTGGCTTCACTGCAGAGTGTGACTTGATGGCATACTGCTGCCACTGTTACGCTGCTCTGGTGCCATCGCTCTGCTCTGATCCATGTGAGAAAGCTCGAACTGAGGTGAGAAGTGGTCAAGATCAGATCGAGTCCACAGGTTAATGTCTCCAGCAGCTAAGCTCAACGAATATTAATTCTGAAGCAAAAATAAACAGTCGAGATATGCTATAACCCAACTGTAACTGTAAATAAGTGGACGTGGATACATGGCTGGACGGGTGGATGGCAAAATAAACAAAGTGAGCTTTGCTGCTAACGTGCACGGTCAACTTCAGTCCTTCTTCCTCGTCGTTCTTATTGTAGTGATTAAAAACCAGGCTTGGGAAAAATGCTAGAATGCTAAAATGCTATGGTGTGTTGTTAGGGATAAGAGAAATATTTTTAATGTGTATCTGCTCATTATATTGTTTTATGTACTTTAATAAAGGCTTGTAGAGCAAGGCCGCTTTTGACTCCCAAACTAAGTGCTCAGCCAGACTGAAAAACAGGAAGTTTTAGTGCACAGCCATATTAATAGATAAGACACTGAAATGAGGAACTTGCCATATAAGCAATGTTTGAGACTGTGTGATGTGTAAAGTACCAAAATCACACCTATATGAAGCACAGTTTATGATTCTAATGTTAGAGAGCTCTTGCAACTGGCGTTTGAGCTGTGCAGGGGTCTCTCTCTTCCGGAAGATGATTGAATAAAAGAAATGTCAATATTTTAACACACTATGAGTCGGTTTTCTCCGTTCTGTCATGGGGACAAAAGCATCAGGTTTAATAGTGTTTAGGAAACAGGAAAATATATAAGAAGTTGATCAGAGATGAAGAATTATGGTTAATAAGTTTTCTGTCAGTGATGTTTGATAGTTTAAAATTGTATTATCTAAAGGTCAGAGGCACATCTGCTCCACTGTTAGGCTATGTGTCCTGAACTTCAGCACTTTTGGGTGCCAATATTTGCTTTATTTATCTCAACATTGCATAAAAATTGTATGAACTTCAAAGTCCTACCTTTAAATCTTGTTTGTATTCTAAGATCTACTCTGCACTTCTGAGAAATATGCCCCCGACATATAATATAAATGAAAAAGATGACTATAAATGTCAATATATAAAACTAAAACTGAGCATTGTTAAATAACAGCTGACATGAAGCGAACAAATCCCCTCAGGAAAGCCACCGAACCACACCTGAATTACAAAAATAAAAACCTAAAATTGAATAACTGGTTTTCACTAACCAATAAAAATGGTGGGATGCTTTAACTTTTATCAGCTCCTGAAATGAGGTGTTTGAAAAGCACTGCTTTAACATCTGTGTATGTAGTGCAGACAGTGCATCTGGTTTATTTTAATGCTTTATAACAATGTAACTATTTTCCTCATTTAAATGATTATAACGTGTTGAGCTGAGGGCTGTATTCACAGGGTGACTATGAGCGCACAAGCCTTCATAGATATTCTGGCCTTGTTGTCATTTCTGGAAAGCTCGGACGTTTGTCTTTGCGGTATCATGGCGCTGTGAATTTGTCAGGATGTTGCGTGTCAGAGTTCATCTTCCTTTCTGCTTTATTTACAGGTCACCACACCATTTACATCGGCGTGCACGTGCCCAAGAGCTATCGACGTCGGAGGCGTCACCGCCGGAAAACCGGCCACAAGGACAGAAAGGAGAAGTTGATGGAGAATGTCTTTGACAAGTCGGAGACAGAAAACAACGACGAGGCCAGCAACAGCATCCTCAAACCTCTCAGTAAGTTCTGATGGACTCGGTGTCAGGCCTGATTAGAGTTCACGTCTGTCTTTGCTGAAGGCTGCTCTCTTTTCCAGAGAAAAACGCTTCTGTGACTCTGCGTGACCTGAGCAAAGTTGCTGAGTCCACTTAGTGGCCAGAAATAGCTTTGTATGTCCTGCTAAGTGACAAGTCTGCCTCGACAGAGGACAGTGAATTTCTTAGGAAGTCGTGGTTGTGAAGACGCGAATGCAGTAGTGCTGAATCGTCCCGTGGCTTTGTCATAATTTTAGACAGGAATATGTCTGTTTTGGGTATATGGTAGCATGTATGTTGTATGTGCTGGTGTTTGTTTTTTGGTTGCCTTAACCTTCTTAGGAGTGTAAAGTGCAAAACGCCCTCAGGCTGCTGAGATCAGTGGATGCTCAGACAACCAGCTCTGGCCAGTTGTGAGGAAACCAATAGAAGAGGCGGGTTATACTGGGTGACATAAGTATAAGCAAAGCTCTTAATGGTATCAGTATTTTTCTCGGTCATTGCCGTGTTCAAGTTAAAGTTTCAGGTCAAGTAAGACTAAAATCCTTCTGGCACCAGAAACCTTTAGTGATGTATTCAGTCACAAAGAGAAAAGCTCACGACTTAGTCAAGTGAACAAACTGAAAGGAAGCTCAGTGTTTTCGTCGAACTGCATGAACAGTTTGGTGAAGATGGGACTCTCCTGGCAGTTTTTGGAGAAACAGAGCATCATAACGCTGATGAGTCCTCGTGAAAACAGCTTAAGATGTTCTTGTGTTCTGCCAAGTCGTATAATGAGGCAGACCGCTGTCATTTCCAGAGAATGATGCAATTTTACACATGCCTGCATGCGCGTGATGTGACAAGAGGACTAAAGTGTGCCAAAACTGGATTTCACAGTGTGCCCACATCACTCCATGAGAGGGATTTTCATAAATCCAATCACAGAATAGATTACAGCCGGCCCATCTGGTTGGTGCTGGTCACTGTCCACATGCATGTTTAGCAAAAACTGTGTTTTTTTTGGTTTCTGGGATATTTTTTAAATTACAGTTAGGAGTATTGAACAGCATGGGGCTGAAGTCAACTGTAACTGGCTTTTATAGTGTATGAATTCATTTTTTTGTTATGTTTGTTTAGTAAGAGCTTTGTGTTTTTATTTGTTTATTGCAAGTAGAGAATGTGTCATGTATTAAAGTCTATAATTTTTCATCATCAGTGATAGCTCAGCAATCAGTAATACATGTTTCATATGGTAAATGGCCTGTATTTATATAGCGCTTTACTAGTCCCTAAGGACCCCAAAGCGCTTTACACAACCAGTCATCCACCCATCCACACACTGGTGATGGCAGCTACATTGTAGCCACAGCCACCCTGGGGCGCACTGACAGAGGCGAGGCTGCCGGACACTGGCGCCACCGGGCCCTCTGACCACCACCAGTAGGCAACGGGTGAAGTGTCTCGCCCAAGGACACAACGACCGAGACTGTCCAAGCCGGGGCTCGAACCGGCAACCTTCCGATTACAAGGCGAACTCCCAACTCTTGAGCCACGATCGCCCTCGTATAAGTTTTAATTCGTGAAAGGGAAGGCTGTGTTTTTGTTCCTAAAACTCTGGTGCTGTCGGCGCCTCGATGGGGGAACAGATGAAACTCTGATTTGTTGATTTGACCACTAATAAAATGTCCGTTTTATTAGCGGTCAACACTGTTTGCTGTGTGGAACACCACAAACGCAGAGCATACGGTACAGTTGGTGTTGTTGTACAATCGGCTGTTCTTATGTTTTATTGTACGTAAACAGACTTTTGCACATTGTGTTGATGTGCTCCATTTACTACGACACGCGAAAAGTCTCTCTTTTTAAAGTTATGAGCTGATTACTTCATAGATGAGTGCCAATTGTAACGTCAAGCTTAGCTGCATATATGAGTAACTTTCAGATTTCATTGTCGTCATAGTGAAATAACATGAAATATTCTCTGATCGATAGACTACAGGTAGGGGTGGGCGGTATAAATGGTATACGGTCGAAGCGATATGAATTTGGCCAACTGTAGAGATTTTGACTATACCGCTCTACCGCGATAGCGCATGTTGATGATGTCATCAAGCTGCACCTGTTTTGGTTGAAAGCATTGCCACTGTCACTACCCGATCTGTACCGAAAACCCGATCGGTACCACGCATGTGCAAATCTTACCTCACTTCCTCTCTTTGCCAACACTGCGACATTTAATGTATTGGAATGACACGGTCAGCGCCCAGTTAGCTGCTAGCATTTCTCGACAGCTCTGCCTCCTTTTCGACTGCCCGGGACATTTAAATAATGGATACCTCGTATACAAACAAATTCAGGCTTTTCTCCTCAACAGAGAGTGTCCCCCGATTGAACAACGACGCTGTAAAATAAGAAGAATGGCGCCTAATTACAGACTTAATAGTACAGACTTAGTAATGTGCCACGTGAAGATTCATCAGCCAGATTAAGTGTTTACTGATGACTGACAGTGATAGCGGACATCATCATCATTATTCCAATCAATCCTCTCCACACAGAAAAGCTTAAACACACTCGACTATCACTAAATCAAATTTAACACGCACACACAAACACGATTTGTAATGACGCAAATTGATACGATTGATGCATCTACTTAAAATCTTGTACGAGTTCGAATCTTAGTGATCGCAAGGTTAGAGGTCAAAGGTCAAGTTTTCTGAAAATCTTGTGAATGCGATAACTTGAGAGGTTGGAGATGTAGGAATTTGAAATTCATACTGTATCACCGGCCATCGGCAATATTTTTTAATTGATAAAATAACACAAATTACAGGTAATTTTAAACAAAAGGGCAGAGACGGGACAAAAAAAATTAATTACCTTGAGGGTTGATTTCATTCGACATATAGATTAACTACATTCACCGTCAAGCTTATGATCAGTTCTCCTGCAGTCATTTCAGTTTTTTTTATATAATGTCAAATCACAGCAACAGTTGTTTCAAGGTGCTTTATGAAGTAAAGACTCTGCAATAATACAGAGAAAACCCCCAAATCAAACAACATCTTGGAGCAACCACTTGGTGACAACGGGAAGGAAAAACTCCTTTTTAACAGGAAGAAACCTCTGGCAGAACCAGGCTCAGGTGGGAAAACCGCCTGCTGTGACCAGTAGAGGGTGAGGAGAGGGAGACGGGACAAAGACACTATGCTAAAGAGACCCTAATTTTAAAAAAGAAGACTTTATTAAATTCTTTCCATAAATGAATCCCCATCACCTCATGACATCCACAACATGGGTCCTCCCAAGTGTCATCCTCTACAATTGTAAAACTCAAATCTGCAGGCATTCAAAAACTGACAGGCATGCAGTAATGTCATGCTGTTATTCACTCCATGTTTGTCTCTGTGGAAAACATGGCTGCCCCCAGGGGAGGGCCGTGTTCTTTCTGAACTCAAATCCTCTTGTTTGGTCAGATGGACACTGCAGGGACTGCAAGTGCGTCCTCCCGGCTACGTGCATGTCCACTGCACAGCTTTCTGACCCTGCTCATTTTGATGAGTTTTGGTTTTTCCTTTTAAATCCTAACCTTTTACTCATCTTTTTCTGCTCTGGGGTCAAATGCTCTTTCAAAGTGGATTATAGGGATTACTTAGAAACTTAGCTTGCACACAGATAATAGCTTTAGTTTCTCAAAGTCACCGAGAGCAAGCTGTGATTGCTATAATTGTTTTTTGTATACGGATTCCTAAATGGAAAGAATGGAAACCTTTATGAGCTTTTCCTGTTTGATAAATGCAAAGATTTAGAGAAACACCGCAAAGTTTTCTTCTTATTCCTGAAAAGCATAAATGTGTGGCATGTATGCTATCCCAAAAACATTTCTAGGTAACAAGTTAACAAAAAAACTATGTTTACACCACAGGATGGTCTGTGGTACTTTAGGATTACCTTAATCCTAAACATATTCCAGCTGTTTGCTTACCTGGTCAACACACAAGAATGATTTTTAAAAAGAAACACTATACAGAACACTTCACTGTACTTTTCTGTGTGTTCACTGTAAAGCCTGAATGATTAAAGTGCTGCAAAAGTATGTTGAAAACTATAGCTAGAAACATATCACACTATCATTTTATTTACTTTAGTTATTCTTCTACACTTTTTGACACAAACTACTGAGACATGCATGAGGACATGCAGAGGTTTGGTGTGACAGAGGAGGATGCTGGGGATCAGGTGAGAGGGAGGCAAATTCCCTAAAGGGAGCAAAAGTGCCATTAAACTATCGTGACATAGTAATTTTTCAGGGATCAATGCCATAAACGGCCACTGACGAGCTGAATATTCGAGGGCTTATTTGGATGCTTTTGGTATAATTTTGTTAGAGAACTTGTCTAATGAAGTGAGACAGAGCAGCGAGTACCAACTCATTTATTTTACTTGCAAGGAAGCAAAAGCATAATCTATGTAAATGCTCGCCCACACAATCCCACGAGTTTCATTTATACACTTCTTTGAACGTTATCCTGGTAACAGATATGTGTGCGACACTCTTGCAGAGAAACAGTTCAGTTACACAGTGAACTCGGACATCTGGATAACAGATAGCAGAGGAGCCACAACAAGGCCTGAGACAAGGACAGAGAAAGATTCCTTCAGCTTGCAGTAAAGAGTGTTGCATGGCTTTAATAATTTTTCCATCAGATATCTAATATTAATAACAATAACCTCATTATTATCTCATTTTAGCTGTCTTAGTCATTATCTCAGCACTTTTTGCCTAGTTCACTTATAGTGATTAGCTTAGCTATAAGTTAGCAAGCTACTGAAGCTAGCTAAAACATGCACACATGGAGTCACTGGACTTTTTTTTAATGATCCACATTTAACGCAAGCTGCAGTGTTTCAAAAATGTTTGTTTGAAGTATCGTAACCTAACAGTGTTACTGATGGGCCTGCAGGTTTTTAACTGTTTTTGCTGATGCTTGCTTCTCATT